TGCTGCTGCTGCTCCTGTTGAGTCAAGGAGCAGCCGGTGCGGTTCGACATTCGAACCTCCTTGCCCCGTCGGAGTGCGGCCTGGATCCCGTTTCTCGCGGATCCAAACACTCCGCGAGAAAAGTCACCGAATCTGTAGCCCTCCTTCTGGTCGACGGGGTCGGCACTCCCACCTCCCTTYCCGGCTCCGGACGGAGGGGGGTCGTCGCCGTCGCCGTTGGCGTCGTCGTTTCCGCTCGGGCCCTTGTTTGTTCGAAACTCCCTGCCCCTGCGGGCCGCCGCCTTCACCCCGTCCACGGTCAGCAGGCCCAGGAATCCCACCGCGGCACCCGCGGGGGTGGAAGACCGGACGCCGACCGCAAGGGTTCCAACGGAACTCGCGAGGTAGTCGACCCCCGACAGCTTCTTGATGGACGTTGATGCGGATGCGGTCGCCCCTTGCCCGGGGCCTCYKCTTCCGCAGTGGTGCTCGAGGCAGTGCCGGAGGGCGTCGCCGAGGGCCGCGGAGCCGCTCGCGACCCGCTCTTCGCYCGAGGCAACCCTTGTCCGAGCRAGGCGCAGGTCCGGGGTGGAGAGAAGCGTGTCGAGGTACGCCACGCACGCCCTCAGGGCCAGGCCGACGGCCGCCATCTCCTCCCTGCCACCGGAGCGGGGCKCGGCCGCCAYGGAAAGGCTGAGCAGCGATCGGGGCCGGAGCGCGAGCGTGGGCCTGCGCCGGCTGGTGGTTTCGGTTTCGTTTTTGGTTTCRCCTTTGGTTTCGTCGTTGTCCTTGCCTTTGCCCCCACACCCGGCCACCAAGGATTCCGCTCCCGGGAGGAGTACCCCCTCGAGAACAACATCGCGGCCTTCCAACAAGACCTCGTCAACCGGAACACTTTCCTCCTCCGACGCCATAGCGCGGGACAGAGACACGCGGTCGATCATCCAAACGGACCGCACGTCGCCAAAGCCGTCGGGGAGGAAGCTTCTGCGTTTGCTTTTGCTTTCGCCTTCGCCCGGGTTCTCTCCTCTGGACGGCGTCTCGGTGCTGCCCTCGAGTTTCCACCAGAATCCCGAGACCCCGAGCCTYGCCACGGGWGCCTTTCCGCTGGACGTCTTTGGTACCGATCCCGGTGGCGTGTTCGAAGGTTCCTGGTCTTTGCCGGAAACGGTGGGTCTTTGGGTGGGGGACGGCGGAACCAGTTCCACCTCGAAGCCCCCACMAGGGYCCGAAACTTTGAGAACGCAGGTGGARCAAAATCCCGGTGCTCCGGGGCTTCCCTCGGTGCGCCATTCCCAGGAGAGCAGCAGGGGCGGGCCGCTGGATTCGGCAGCGGCGGCACCGCCACCATTGTGGCACRCTTCCGCGGCGTCCGTCCCGTTGCCGCGGGCGCGAAAGCCCGGGGGCAGGGGAGAAGATCCCTCCGCCCGTGCGAGAATGTCCCGGACGAGGTCGCTCCCGGGCCGCGGGGGGGCCGTGGGTCCCTCCCCCCYKCCGCTTTTTCCTTCGCCGGTGTCGTCTTTCGCCAGAGACACCGGCACAGACACAGATACCGACACAGCCGCCGTGCTTTCTGGTGGCGGCAAGAGTTGGTCTTGGACCGCGGTGGTTCCTTCGCCCGGATCCCCTCGCTCCGTTTCGCAAGGAAACCCGTGGCCCGCGTCCCGGCTCGGTTCCTCCTTGTGCAAGGGCAGCCTTCCACCGGGGCAAGGGCAATGGCAATCGGACCCGTACCCGTACGCCCGGTACACAACGTCCACGAGGGCCCGGGCCAGGACCGCCCTCCTCCGTTTCTCGCGTTCGTTCGCCGTGGCAACGGCAATGGCCGCGGAGAACGAAAAGCCGGGGCTTGTGGTTGCGGTTCCCCCCGGAGCGGCATCGGCTTCGGGTTCCTCCACGTCGCTATAGCTGTAGCTATTGCTATAGCTGTAGCTGCTATCGTGTTCCGTCTCGATGGGTTCCGGCACGGCGCCGCCGTTGCTGCTCATTTCGAGTCGCCCGTCGCTGGGGTTCACACTAGAAGCATCCATGGCGAAACCTTGCTGGGKTTGGGTCTTGATGCGTTGGGTTATGGATTATGGAATGTACTTTCTCAAGTACAGAACTTCGTGTTTCGTACTTTACTTCGTAATTGCAATGGTGTAGTTTCTGTTTCGTAC